CAGAGGAAACGCTCCACTGTCAGCTACATCGTTATACCCAGACTGGGGATACAGATTTACGGTCACACATGCTATCTTCAGGGAAAAAAGGAAAAAAAAAAACAAACAAACAAACAAACAAAAAAAAAACACCAAAAAAAAAAAAACCCAAAAAACACTTATTCTTGTCAATATTCATTAAATAGAAGGGTTGAATTTCCAGGCTTTCTGATGAAAGAAAGAAAACTGCGTGGGACAGTAACAGAATACACTGGGGTGATTCTTAAATGAAATGCTTTGCTATGAAACAGCCCTTTTCCCAAGGCAGGGCTTGGCTCTTGATGGCAGAGAGTTTACCCCTTCCCATAAAGGAGGAGAAGACTGGTGGGGAGTGAGGTATTATCTCTGGATAATCCCTTTTCTGAAAAGAGAGTTGCATGGCTAATGGGAACATTCTCTTGGTAGGACCCCAGAATATTTTGGCTGGTGACAGGGATTATGTTTCTGGGAAGCGGTCTGATATGGCGGCGCTTGCTTTCCTTCCTTGGGCGGCACCTAGAACCTCCACTACCTCCTCACGTACGTATGGCTGCCTAGGGTTTCTGTGTCGGGCTCGGCACGTACAGTTCGTTCCTGAAGCTGGAAATAAGCCATCGTAGGGGGTGGGCTGCAGAGCATGGGGGAATTCAGCTCAGTGTCTGCTCCTTTGACTTCACAAGGGAGAAGGTTCTCCCTAGCTGGATTGAATGAGGTGGGAAGCCCAGCACTGGCAGAGATGCCCTTGAGTGGCAGGATACTGCTCACTGCTGCCAGAAGTGAAGCTGCAGGCTGTTACTTGAGAGATGCCCTATTGACTTGCACCTGGTGGCCCAAGGGAAGCCAAGGCGCATGGTAGAAGCAGCCCTAATTTGCCTTCTCAGCTGCCACAGCAGTCCATTCGTAGTGAGGGACATCAGGGATGCTGCGCGCCTCCCACCCACATACTCACTCTGGATCCCTGTCTCGTAAAAGAGAAGGTAAAGATAAAAGGACGATGAGGATGGGTACAAGTTGTAACATCTCTCTGGAGAATGACGCCATGGTTGTGATGTCCTGACTCCCAGTCCGAAGTTTGTAGTAGCTCCTCACCTGCCCACCAGCCATCTTTGACGTTGATGCTGGTGGCATTGTAGAGCCCTGTTGTACCAAGCTCTGTGAAGATTTCCAAGGAGACTGTTCTTCAGTAAGATTTTGTATGGGTCATTTTCCATGTTGACTACCCTTTCCTGCCAAGGCTTGTGGGCTGTGTTGTCTCACTCTATTCTGCACTCTAGTATTTGTAACAGTGGGTTCAAATTTAAGTTGCTACAAGTGACCAGAGAAAGGGAGCCCCAGATAAACTCGCCTTCTTCCCTCCCCTCCCTTGCCACTAAGAGGCAGATGGAAGTAGTTTGTTGTGGACTGTTGACTGTGGCTACAGCTAACTGGATTATCCTCAATTGTTGCTCAAAGCCAACTCCAGCAAGTACCGACTCTGCCATGGAGAAATGTACTGAAAGGGATTAGGGAGGGAGAAGCCAGAGAGTGTTGTGAAAATAAGAGGAGAAAAATCGGGGTCCGGGCCTCTGTGAAGCTTTATTTCCTTCTGCTGCGTATAGAGCAGCTTCTCATATAATCACAGGCGGTTTTCTATCTTGCCTAGGTTCCTGCAGTTTTGAAAAAATCCCAGCCAGTAGCTGGAAGAGTGGAGATAAAGAACAACCTTAAAGCAGAAGCATTTGGGCTGAGCAGAAGGATGTTAACAAACCAGTAGGAACAGCAGGAACGAAGAGACTGTCGCTGTTACAGGGTGGACTTTGGACGCTTTCCTTGCACTTGTTCTTCCTTACTGAAAACTGCAAGAATTTCTAAACTTGCTAATTTAATATATATTTTGTGCCAAGAACCTATAGTGAGATTTTAATGCTCACACACAAAAGGAGAGAAACACAAGGGAAAACAGTGATGTGCTTTCCCACAGTCCTCTCACCTCCACCCCATGTGTTCCATTAGTTTTCTGTATCGCATACATGTGCTTATTTTTTGGGCATTCTCATTTGAAGTGTTTCTGTCAAATACGTCTTCACGAAATGGCCTTTCTTAACAGTACGTTGAGCTTGAAGGATGACAGCAGTCAGCATTCATCAGTAATTCTGGTTCTGAGCTGCAGATTTAGGAATCTGACTTCAAATATCAAAGAAAAATCCCCCCCAAAAGTGGCCTTTTTAGGGATTTTTTGAAGGCCCTATTTAATGGCAGAGAACGGATTTTCTACAGCAAAAAACATACGTGCATCCCTTGTGAAGCATCCCCTCTAAGCTGGCAGTAACCAGACATCATAGTTTCTCTCAGTTTAAGTCAGCAATAACAGGCTTGGAAATGTAGCTACTGATCCTGGGTATTCCTTAGCAATTAATTTAGGCCCCAAACGCATGCAGTTTATTAACGAGCAAAGCAAGCCTCCTGATAATGCACGCTCGGGCTTGCTGGCTGCTGCTGTTTCAACACGTGTTTTCAGAGCTGCAGCTCAGCGACTCCTTGCGCTGTCGTAAGGACCGATTCAAACACTGGCAGAAATCAACAGTCCGCTGGCAGGTCACTCTTCAGCTGGGCTCTCCCTTCTCCCGCTTCTCTCCAAGAAGAGAAGACAAAGCATGGCCTAGCCTGCGGCAGAGTAAGGAGCCGAGCTGGTGTAATGGCGGGGAAGCCTGGTGTCCTGTGATGGACTGCAGGAAGAAGTAAAACTCTTATGCCCACCGTCTGTGTTTTTTCTGAGGACCTATCCCTGAGGGCGTAGTTCTCCACTGGTTTCTCTCAGCCTGTAGAAGGAGTGTGAAATCCTTCTAAGTCAGGTCACAAACTCTTTAGTTTTCGCTTGGGGCTTTGTAACCCCTGTGACACACACAGAGCAGCGCCTTAGGTGCTACCAGCTGAATCGCTGTACTGGCAGTGGTTGAAAGGACAGGAAGTGTAGCTGCAAACATTTCTACTCAAGACTAACAAGTCAAAAATGGAAATAAAAAGGTACAGAAATCAGAATTATGTGAGTGTAGTTTGGTTAAAATCAGTTGTATGCAATTATTTTCAAACAGTTCTTGCTCGGTATGTGATTTCAATTACTGATATCAAAGGTGTGAGAAGGTGAGAAAATTAACGGGGTTTGTAATGTTTTTTAGCTGAATTTTCTGCAGCCTTTTTGCTTAGCAGGTAGAGAGCTAAAAAACATTTAAACTGAGCAATCCAGTGGAAAAACGGCTCACACCTTGGCTGACAAACCCCAGGAAAGCCCCGTGCACGAAGGGATGCGGATGCTGATGTTTTCAACCAGGTTGCAGTCGCATTAGGGCAGGACTGAAATGTGTTGGTGCCGCTGTTTGGGAAGCTTTCAGACAAGCTTTCCAAGCTCCGTCCCTTGTGCAGAGAGGCTTCTGTGAACTGTGTTGACTCCTTTTCCTGTACATAACTGACAGCACAATAAAAGCACTGGGAAAAAGACACATCTTTTACAAGGCTGCCTTTCTCTTGACAGACATATGCAAGCGTTTGATGGTTTGTTACATTTCAAGTAATCAAAATGCATTTGTGTGCAATAAAATTACTCCGAGATTATACATAGAAAAAAACCAAAGCCAGCGGAGGCTGTATCTTCAGAATGGAAGAACATACCGGTTTCATCAATTTTCATTTAAAAACTTTATTTTGCCCTTATACACTGCTCGTTTTGCCTGACGCCTCCACAGATTTGTAAAGTACTGTGCTTCCAGTTCCATCCAGTTACTTCTTTCATAAAGTTCAGATTTTAAATTTCTTATTTTTTACATGTTCTGCTATTTGGGCAAGTAAAGTCCCTGAAGTATCAGCTAATACTCACCTTGCCCTTGTGTTTTGGTTTTTGTTTTGGTGTTTTTTGTATCAACCTCCCTGAGAGAGACAATTCCTCAGAAGTTGAGGTGTGTCATCTTGGAGTATGACCTTTAGAATTCTGTGCTATTCCACTGACTTGTGTTATTTAAAATAAAAATCATGGTTTATGTTTGCAAAGGAGGCAAGGGAGAGAAAATACATATGCATGTATGTCTACAGACTAGTGTTGGTAATAATAGCTTCACATCTTGCTGCTCAAGTTGTTTAATAGATAATCGATGCACACTGTTAAACATGCATCATACAAAATTAGCATTAATTAGTTGAAGACAATACTGTTAACAATGAAAGCTGTTAACAATTCCAAGTTACCTCGTCATGGAATTTTACATGAAAACACAAAGCAAGGGTGTCAGAGTAGTCTCAGCCACGAGTGCGAAAGCATTTCCCAGAAATCCATCAGTCTTGCACTTTCCCCCTGGGTGCTGCCCGCTGTCCCCCAGCCCGAATGCAGACCTTGGGCTTGCTGCATACACAGGCAGTCGTTTTGATTGGCACCCACCTTGCTGGCTGGCTTACAGCTTCCCCTCCTCCATGCTTGTGATTGTGACAGCAACTTCCGATCTCCTAGAATCCCTGTCTGTATGACAGTATGCAAGGAATTGTAAATTACGTGCTATTCTTTCCTGATTTTGTCAAGAAAACACTGACCTGTAAAGAAGGTGACCACTGAACATCCCTCGTGCAGCCAAACACTACTCCCAAAATGTAGCCGCCTGCTCATTTCAGCCTCTAACATGTTTTCAGACCAGCTTGCTCGTTCTAGATTAAGTGATGCTGCTGCTCGCAACAGAATTAATTTGTGCTCTTAGATGACCGGCATCAGTTTGCTTGGCTTGTAAGTAAAACCGCCGTGCCTGCTCACAGTCCCCTTCACTGAAAAGAGTGACCTTCGCTCCCTCCCTCCCTTAGTACTACCTAGGACCCTGTCTAGCTATCTGGGACACCTATCTATCAGAAGTTTGCTGGCACGTGGTCTGTTGGCTTGTACGGCTTAAGGACAGTATCACAGATACTATGGAGATTCTTCACTGAAAGATGGGCTGCTGTGCCCTGGTATTGAATGGTACCATGACCTTTTAGAGCGAGTAGACAAAAAGCCTTCCACCAAGCCGAGCTTTCGCCGAGCTTCTCTCTGCTGCCACTACAACTTCTCTCTGTAGAGACACAAACAAAGGTAAGCAGTGCGCAGCTACAGGTGTTCGATTGCCTGAAGCCTCCCTAGTGGGAACCAGGTTATGTCCCTGTCATCAGTGTCCTACAGAAATGGGATGAGGAGAAACGAGCACAACACACCTCACCAGGAAGCGGTGAACAAAGCGATTTGGCAAACGGGCTTTGTTTCATTTGGTGAATTGGAAGGAGCTGGAACCAGTCAGATAAATCTCTTGCCAACATAAACACTTTCTCGGGGGTAAGATCAATACAGATGAAGCTGGCGTGTGGACTGCATTGGTGCCGCAGCAAAGGAACATAACTGTCTGGAGAACGGCTGCACTGGCACTCATTCAGAAACCATCAGCAATGCCTTTGTTTCAGGTGTTGGATTATGCACCCTAACCTCATTTAGCAGCATTTACATTTCCAGGTGTTTCTCTGTGGCATGTTTTAACAGCAAGAAGTCAAACGCCATTTGTTGAAGACCAGTTGTGCACCTCCTCAGCCTGGTACTGAGGTCTTCTCAGTACTCAACAGAGAACCCCAGTTCTCACTCAGGTTATGTCAGAGGAAGCAGAACATTGGACTCCCCTCAGCTGGATGAGCACTAAGTAACCTTCAAGCTGAAAAACGGTTCCTCGGTGCATCATACAAGCACAGGGATGGACTTTTTGTAAAAATGAGGGGCATCTGAGGGAAACAAAGAGAACTATCCAAAGTCATTCAGGCAAGAACTGGGCCTCTACGCTTGGAAATCCTTCGCAGATGAACAGCCTTCACTGCAAGCAACAGCTGGGACAGCAAGCTTGCAAATACTAAACGAGAGGGGTGGTTGGGTGCCCGGTTTACCCCACAGCTGAGCATCCGCTCTGCATACAGGTTGGCATGAACAGTAAAGCCCGTTGGCACCCACGCTTGGTTTACCATGCAGCCTTTCAGCAGACTCCTAAGCAGTTTAGGTTTCAGGCTGTTTTAAAGTGATCTCTTTCAATTCAGGTGTCAGGTGCCAATATTTTGATAACTCCATAGTTCATCCAACTATAATGTGGTTTTATTTATCAGTTCAGAGAGTGACTTAAATGAAAACTAAATTAACTACGTAAAGCACTTAAGACTTCTGCAAATGAGTAAGATATACGTGAAGTGTTGGCCATTATATGCAAGTGAGGTAGAAAGACGTTATGAAGCAACTGACAACTGTCATTTTTCTCACCTTTCTTTCAGATTTCACAGTGATAACGGAACTCCCAAACCTTGATTGTTCCTGTAAAATAACATTGCTTGTTATAATGCTGTTAGGTTTGGTTTTTTAAGTAGGACTTTTAAATTTCTCTCAGTAGTTTGTTTTCTTGTTACTTGCCTCAGGAGAAATCAGGACATACTGTGCCTAAAGAAGAAAAGAGAAAGTAAAAAGTCAGTGGAAAGAACCACGTTAGGAGAGCAGAAGATCAGGGCAACAACCCTGGCTCCTAAACAGCAAAGTAATTCAAGAACAAACAGGGTGAGCCAAATCACACAGGTTCAGAAACATAAGTCACCTTTTGTTTGCTGAAACCAAGTTGGAGTGCACCAGATATTTGCACTGGATGTAATTAATTAGCTGTCATTATGACCTCATGTCCCGATTTCACTTTTATGTTTTCTTACCCAGTCCTCGGGGCAGGGAGATACCCATGACTTGCAGTGGCTCGTCACGTTCCCTGAGGATGCCTGCTTGCCGTTGTAAATGTAAACACGGCCAGCTGTCCCACCAAACAGTACCGTGGTGATGTCGTTAGTTCGCAGAGGGGATGCCACAATCATTTCATCTGCAAATATTACAAGGATGACATAAATAATACTAAAACAAAACACGAGTGAGCTGGCATTTATTACACACCTCTAAATGCCACAATTCCTATTAACAATGACAGGTAAAAGGTTTCCGTTTCTGACTCGCGTGGAATTTTAGAGATGCCTCCTCACTAGGCACGATGGAAAACTTTACAAGTCAGCTGAGGACGCAGACTGTATTTAGCACTTGTGTGAATAAGCAGGTGACCAGTCTTCCTGTTGGCAGAACAGTTCACCTCTGAGCTAGATTCACCAGGCTTTACCTAGTCCATCATTATCCAGGTCACTTAAGCACACATCTCCTCCAAAGCGAGAAAACCTCCTGTCCCCACTGAAGGTGCTGAGCAAAGCAGGCTTGGTGCTGTCTGTCAGATCGTATACCAGAGCCAGTCCAGCCTGGTGCAGCACAGAGGAGATAAATGAAATCCTAGACAGGCTATCTGAAAAAAAAAAAAAGTAACAGAAGCTGAGCATCAGACATAGGAACTTAGGTTTACTACTTGTAGTACACTGACAGCAGATAATACTGCCATGACATAACATGGACATAATTCATGACTAAGACCAAATGCTATATGGCATTAACACTAATTAGCACAGAAACAGCCTCTTAGCAATAGCAGCAGGGGAAAAATGTGTTCAAGTTAGAGTTCTACACTTTGACTTTCCTAATTCCTTACTACCTACTGCCAGAGTAAGAACAAAATACTGTGGTGTTTTAATTCCAAGAAATAAGCAGTCTACTAACAAATCACTGCTACATAAATAATGCAAGGTAATAATGCTGCTAAACTAATTTTAAGGAAGGAAAAAGCCCGCTGAAGTTGAGGCATAGTACAGAGGACTCTACAGGTGAGGCACTTGTAGGTCATTACAGTGATTAATTCTTGTCTTTTTTTTTTTCTTTTTTTAAATTATGTGGCAATTAAAAGGTCCCTTTTCTTACTTTTAATTTTTGTATCTATCCTCTGGCCATACAGAAGCAAACATCCCAAAGCAGAACTGGTTTCCAATTTTGAGAAGGACTTACCTGCAGTAGGTGCACCTACCACCAAAACTGTCCTTGCGATCCCAGCCACAGACATCACACCACTGGCCAGAGACAAACCCATTCTGCCCATCTCCTGTTAGATTTTTAGAAGACCTACGTCACTTCTACAGCATGCTACTTCATTTCACATTATTCATAAGGCCCCAGACTACAGCAGGAGCCCTACCTTGTCTCCCGTTACCGCGAACCAGGGCGTTGTGTTTGGTGGGTTGTACCCATACACCTTCCCAACACTCTGTCTGACATCCGAGGAGAAGGGATTGCAGCTTGAATTACAAGGCAAAACAGTTTTGTACGTAACAACACATTTTTGTACATTTAGCTATGATTGCTCCTCTTAAAATATTTCCCCATTTTCGTTTGGAGTAACAGTGCCTGCCAAATTGTAGAAATCTATTTGAGTAATTCCCATGCTTATTCTAATTAGTTACAAGACATTAGGGCACAGACTTGGTCTGTCTATCCGCTTCTTCATCACCTGATACATTTTTGTGTTCGGTTTGTTTTTACCAAATGCTATCTCAAAGTAAGTGCTATCTAGAGGATTATTTTAGGCATGCTTACGTCTTAGCATTTTTGTGCCCCATCCCGAAGAAAACCCAACCAATTCTTAAGTGTCTCTAAATAAGAAAGACCCTCTCTATAAAGTGTCTAAAGACACACCTCCCCTTCATGAGGAAGGATGAAGGCATAAAAATATGAATTTAATAAAAATATTGTAAGCAGAACAAAGAGGAAACTTCCTGAAAAGCTGGAAGTCTAATCTCTTACAAATCCTAACCACTGTAGTGGCAGGGCAGAATGGAGGAGAGGGCAAGCTGTCATGCACAACACACCCAGCACAACTCTTCCATGTAGGGCTACCAATCAGCAGCAACGTTACGTTCTCCAGCTGGCAGCTGTCAAGCGAAAATCCAAACCAAGCGTAGTTTTCTTCCCCCTTCACCATCCAGTTGGCATCCGCCACGGACAGAAGTCCTGACAGACCAGAAAAATATTAATTGAGTCTTGATATACCCTGGCATAGAAAAACCTGTTAGCAATCCTCCACTGGTTCATCCTATGACAACAAGTTACTATAAGCAAAATTACACCATCCGTTGTGTGGCACCAGTTATTGCTCAGTCTGCAGCTGTACTGCCTGGTGAAAGCCTTTACTCAACACAGCCTGCTTCTAAACCCTTGCAATAGCCGACGCAAAGTACATGAAAGCTACCACTCAAGCCTGCCCTAAACCAGTGACTCCTTCTTAGGGACAGGACAACACTGAAACTGTTCATCAGAACTTGTAAATCTTCAAGGGCTGTGGGCAGCAGCGCTTGAAATAATTCTGGCTTTAATTCCAATAATTCATTCGGTGTTTTGGTTCTGCAAAAATGTCAGTCATCAGTGGTTTGAAACCTATTTTCCTTGTGGTTTCTACTTTTACATGAAGTAGAATAAGCCACAAGAATTAAGCATTATTGAAATCTCAATTACATGATCCTGACAAAGCTCTGAGTATCTGCATATCCTGCCCAACCCCTATTACCTTTATTTAGCTTCATATGTGGCCTTTGCTCCCTCATTCACAACAATCCTCATCACCTGTCCTCATTAGCTGTATTCGCGTGTAGCATTCCTCTTTAGCCACACGCAGGGGCACACAGAATGATAAAAATTCATCTTCTGAGATACGTTTGGAAATTTCCAAGGAAGACCAGTGAGTCCACCCTGGCATCACCAAGACACGGTTGAATCCCTTGTTTTTGCAAGGCTCTAAACACTGTTTCCCACAATGTTCTTGCATCTGAGCTTGGACACTGCAGTCTGGATGGGTGGACAACCAGATGGGAAAAACCCGGTTGAGATGATGACCCCCACAGAGCCTCGACTAGTGGTGGGTACTCTGAACACCTGTGACGAGTGGGGTGCCTTCAGGGGTCTGTCTTTAGACTCTTCCTGTTAAACACTTTTATAAATGATCTGCAGAAGGCAACAACGTGCCCTTTCGTGAAGCTGGTGGATGACAGGAGATTGAGGGGGGCTATCACTTGAGGGCAGTGCTACCACTCAGAGGGACCCAGCAGACAGGCTGGAGGAACAGGCTGACAGGGACCTCACAAAATTCAGTCACGAGGACAAATGCAAAGCCCCGCCCCTGGGAAAGGAGATGCCCTTGCACCGATACAGGCTGGGGACAGGCTGGTTAGGGAGCAGCTGTGTGGAAGAGGTCCTGGAGATCCTGAGTGTGAGGCTCTGACAGCAGAAACGGCCAATGGCATCCCCAGGCTATACAAGCAGGAGCATGAGCAAAGAGATTGAGAGAAGTGATTTTTTTCTCCCCTTTACTTGTCCCTAGACCACAGCTATAAAACAGTGTTCATTTTTCGACCCCACAAAACAGGAAAGATGTTGATAAACTGGAGAAAATTTAGTAGAGGGCCCCCAAGATGGTTGGGGGCTGGAGCACTTGCGCTGTGAGCAGAGGCTGAGGGACTGGGGCTTATTCAGCCTGGAGAAGAGAAGGTTTTGAAAGGACCTCACCGCAGCCTGCCAGTACCTGTGAGGAGGTGAACAAGGCGAGTGAGCCAGGCTCTTCCCAGTGTACTGGGGTACTCTACGCCTTCTATGCCTCTGACTTCACTATGCGTGGTGGGAAGACAATAGACTGAGCATAAGCTGAAACAAGAGAGGTTCGTACTGGCTGTAACAAGACTTTTTTCTCTATGAGGACAGCCGAGAAGTGGAACAGCTGCCCACAGTGGCTGTGCAATCTCTGTCATTGGGGGTTTTTAAGATGCTGAAGCCCTGAGCAATCTGGTCTGACTTCACAGCTGTCCCCTGATTGAGTAGGAGGCTGGACCAGACCTCCTAAGGTTCCTTCGAACCTGAATTATCCTATGACTAATTGGAAACAAATAAACAGTCACATAAAATATGGGAGGGTTAATTTACTCAACAAATATTACCTTGGTCGGTCCTGTTGACATAAGAGTAAAATGCAACCACAAATCCTCTCTGCTGCCCGCCACCAGGTGCATACGGAGAGCCCACAACCAGATCAGCATTTCCATCCCCATCAACATCTGCTGCCAGCAGGGACCAACCAAGATTACAGTAGGAATACTGCAATAAACAGTTAGTTTAAGCCTGAAATGGAACTGAAACCACCAATTCTGTAACAAAATAGAGCAATTCATTTCTAAGGAGCTAACTTTGTCTGCTTCTGATCAAATTACCCTCCCGCCCCCTGACTTCAGTTTTGTTTTCTTTGGGGTTTTTTTGGACAGCTATGCATCTTTCTGTTCACCCTGCTGCCTCCCCTGCACTAGAGTGAAAACGTCTTTCCCACATACAACCAACCTAGCCAAGCACCTGCTTGCACCATTCCCATCAGTCTAAATTTCCTTGCAATTAGAAGTTCGATTTTTAACATTCTTTTTTTAAGCCCACAAGCCTCTTTCCCCTTTATCTCACCCCCTGCTTGTGTAGCCCCATGTTAGCCTGATCAATATACCTGACAAGTTATGGTAACGTTTGGTTGAGATGCCAAGCCTCTTCCCTCAGTGCCAAAATAGACATACACAGCACCCTAAACAGCAGGAAAAGCAAAAACAGCATGAGAGCATCTGCATGTCAACACCAAGCATGAAATCCAAGAAAAAGCACAAGGCGTGAAACGGTTCTGCAAGGGCTATAAATACAACTGCATTTTTCCTATCAGAGCCTTCTCCTAATACTATCTTTCCACCCCAAACCTAAGAATACCCATGCTGTACTGGGTACTGCTATAGCCAGGCAGCAAACTAGAGAAGTACATTTTCATCGTACTGTGGGTAAGGAGCAAGGACAGTATGCTGTATATTTACATTCGTTATACACACATTCAGGTGGCTCAAATTTTGTTAATTATTATTTAACGCAATGGCACACAGCACCAGGAACAACAGATGCATGCAGTTTTCCAAGCTACTGGGTCTACATAAAAGCACTTAAATTCCTATTTAGGCATCTAAGTTAGTATCTAAAATTCTGAAGAGTTTTAAGCTTAACGGATCTGATTTAAACCAAAACATTTCGCCTCTTGGTTTGCATGGGCTGAAAATGCTCAGGGACCATTACATGGGCTTATCCAGCAAGCTGCAAGTCATTAAGCCTGTGTAAGTTGATTATTTTAGCAAGTGTGTCCGTGTTCATATCACATGTTAGATATCGTCTGTGGGCCTGTGACAGCAGATGACAAGGCTCGCTGACCCATGAGGTCCATTCCAGACCCTCTGTTCCTAAATAAAAAGGGTACACGCATCTTTCATGACTGGCTTCGTACATTTCCAGCACATCAGTGCTGCAAAGCTGCAATCTGATTTGGATTTCCAATGCGCAAAAAGGCCACTGAAAGAGAAATACAGATAGGTGCCATTGCTGTAGTCAAAGTACCCACGAAGGTTATAAACCTTTGTGCTTAAATCACAATGTCACCTTGAGCAACAACAGAAATTCTCTCTCTCATTTCACTGTTCAAAAAAAACGTGTCAATAAAAATGTTCTGTTTGGAGGGAAAAAACCCCAACAGACCCATGTGCGTGGCTTACTTTGTAAGTCAGAAACTGAGATCCCACGGAAGGTGCTCCAACTGCCAGATCTGGCACTCCATCCTCATTGAAGTCCAGGACTGCCAAGGCAGAACCAAATCTTCCTGAAGGCTAAAAGAAGAGGGATTGCTCTCATGAAAACAACAGACGTTTGCAAGACAACACCATCAAAACCTAATGCACATTTGCAAACCCAGCGCAGGGAAGAACTGGAAACAGAGATGACAAAAATCTATCCCAATAATTCTTAAGATCTTCTTCGCATCACCACTCTCTCAAGTAATAACTGTCATACTAATACACTAACTCGGAGTCAGCGGTTCTGTCTGAGGATGTAGAGGTATTAAAACATCAGCTAACTGAACACAATATGGCGCTGCTTTGCTGTTTCCTCTTCTGAGGACAGTGCACCATTGATGTCCAGCTTATGATCCTTCCTGTTAATAGCATTATAGCTGTAAACCACTGAAATGCTCTGCAAGAAGACAGCAGCTGTTACTCCACAGTTTATAGCCACAGAAACAGATTAAAAGGGAATGTATCTCATCTCTCTCTATTCTAGAATCATAGAATGGTTTGGGTTGGAAGGGAACTTAAAGATCATCTAGTTCCAAGCCCCCTGCCATGGGCAGGGACACCTTCCACTAGAACAGGTTGCTCAAAGCCCCATCCAACCTGGCCTTGAACACTTCCAGGGAAGGGGCATTTGCAACTTCTCCAGGCAACCTGTTCCAGTGTCTCACAACCCCCACAGTAAAGAATTTCTTCCTTATATCTAATCTAAATCTACCCTCTTGCAGCTTGAAGCCACTCCCCCTCATCCTATCACTACAGGCCCTTGTAAAAAGTTCCTCTGCATCTCTCTTGTAGGCCTCCCTCATGTACTGGAAGGCTGCAGTAAGGTCTCCCCAGAGCTTTCTCTTCTCCAGGCTGAACAGCCCCAACTCTCTCAGCCTTTCCTCACAGAAGAGGTGTTCCAACCCTCTGATCATTTTTGTGGCCCTCCTCTGGACCTGCTCCAACAGCTCCATGTCTCTCCTGTGCTGAGAGCTCTAGAGCTGGATGCAGGACTCCAGGTGGGGTCTCACCAGAGCAGAGTAGAAGAGCAGAACCACCTCCCTCAACCTGCTGGCCATGCTGCTTTTGAGGCAGCCCAGGACATGGTTGGCCTTCTGGGCTGCAAGCACACATTGCTGGGTCATGTTGAGCCATCAACCAGCACCCCCAAGTCCTTCTCCTCAGGGCTGCTCTCAATCCATTCTCCGCCCAGCCTGTATTTGTGTTTGGGATTGCCCCGACCCATGTGCAGGACCTTGCACTTGGCCTTGTTGAACTTCATGAGGTTTGCACGGGCCAACCTCTCAAGCCTGTCCAGGTCCCTTGGGATGGCACCCCTTCCCGCCAGCATTGTTGACCACACCACACAGCTTGGCGTTGTTGGCAAACTTTCTGAGGGTGCACTCAATCCCTCTGTCCATGTCACCGACAAAGATCTTAAACAGTACTGGTCCCAACACCGATCCCTGAGGAATGCCACTCATCACAGGTCTCTACTCAGACATCGAGCTTCTGACCGCAACTCTTTGACGGCAACCATCCAGCCAATTCCTTATGCACCGAGTGGTCCATCCATCAAATCCACATCTCTCCAGAGACAAGGATTCTCTTCTTTGTGAATATTTTCTACAGAGGATCACCTTTATCACTCAAAAAGATTATTTGATCCTACTTCTCAGTTACAAGCCATTCACCATCATGTCAAATCGTACTTTTGTCTTTTTTAAAAATAAGGTGTATTCTTAGTGAAGACAAACAGCGGTTTTGTGAGAAGTTATCAATTAATGAAAAAAATGTAGCTTCAAAGGAACTCAAATTCATATTGAATTGATAATTTTAGATGAAAAAGGAAGGGAAAATCACAATATTTTCTTAACTGCAAGGACCCGAATGAGCTTTACTGTGACTTACAGAGACACTACCTCAGTTTTATTCAAGGGCAAATTATGTTCTAATGCCCACTTATCTGGCACAATAACAGAAGTGAACCTACAGACCACCATTGTTTCAATTGTTCCTGTGACATAAGTAACAGATATTTTTCTTGAAAAGCATATAAAATCCTTTTGCCAGAAGGGACATTTTAGGTGTAACCCTCATACATATTAATGATACTGTTCTCAGTCAAAATTTACCACATTTTCAGGAGAACAAAAAAAAGTGACAAATATCTGACTTGACCCCTCACCTGATGACCCGGTAGCACCTGGTTAGCTTTCCCATCTAGATCCATGTCCTCTGCTGGCAAACCTGACTGGTTGCCATAGACCACATACACCCGTCCTATTTGAACACAGCCCAATGTGCTGTACCCTGGTGCGCTAACCACCAGATCTTCATATCCATCCTGGTTTAGGTCAGCTGAGATCATAGCCCTGTACAGTACGGGAGTCAACAAAATCATAGCATCAGCTTCCAGACTACCAGAACATTAGCAGAAAATAAATACTTTTACTTCTTTCAGGTAAAAGAAGACCTGTCTTTCCCCATCTATTTTTGTAAAAAACCTACACAGCATTTTTCATATTATATAATTGATTTTCATTTCCTTTAATTAAATAAAAACAGAGCCTTGGAGATGCATCTTCCATTAATGCATCTGACATCTGCAGGAACTGCTTTTTACTTACTGACACAAAGCACCTGAGAGCAATCAGGGCAAGCAGCATGAAAAAGAGCTGCTTGCACACGACAGAATACAAAAGATGAAATTAAGAATATTTTTAACTGAACCTCTAATTTAATCAAGGGACTTAACAGTAAATAAGCAAAGGGATCACAGGTCTCAGTAACATGTTGGAGTTTAGAGAGGGAATGTGGAGAGAAAAGAACTAACTACTGTTAATTTGGTCAGTGTGAAGTAAACTCAAGAATTACATCTTCAATTTTTGAGTCAGAAGAAATGAAGCAAGATGAGCAGCAGTGCATATTTATTGCTCTTCCCTGTTGCAGGTCAAGCTAGAACCTCTCTGGCAAGGAGAGAGAATATGCCTTTTTCTGGGTCCTGAATCTATCTTTGAACTCCCTACTAGTCTTCTAGTGTTTTCAAGAACACTCGCTAGGCACCATCAGTGACCAGTTAGGGACAGACAATTAATTCTGTGCAAACATCAACAATAATGAAAAAAGGGTAACTACGTTCCTGTACTGTTCAGAACTAGAGCCAATGTTGGTTCTAACTGCGGTTCCTTCCATTCTGAGCTTGATCACACACAGAGTATTGAGCTCCTTCACTACAGAGAGAATATAAAAAAATGACAAGATGACCCTTCCAAAGAAAGAGGTTATCTGACTAGAATTCACATCTGTATGGAAATTTTGCTCTTTCGGTACCAACACAAAGAGGCTTACACTAACATCTGAAAGAAAGGCCTTCTGGGTTAACTCGCTGTTCTGGTCAGTCAATATAAGCCATTCAGACAGATTTGTGCCACTAACTGATTTGGACTGTCACCTTTAAAGAGCATCCAAACAATAAACATTCATATTTTGGTGGGTGCTCAAAATTTTCAGAAATTAAGCAGGAGGTGGGAGGACAAAAATTACCAACCATCCAAGTCTAGCATAGGGTGAGGTCAGAAAATATGACGCTGCTGGCTTGGAGATGTGCTTAGAAGATTTCTGATGTGCAGATGCCAACGCTCTCCAGACACTGGTTGCAAAAGCACGGTTTATAAAGTGGAGGGAATTCTGAAATAAAAATAATAGAGACACAAGAATGGATAAAAACACAGGCTGAAACTCTACAACATTATGGAACACCTCAAAAACCAAGTCACCAACAGTGGAAATCACCACATTGATCTAAGAGGACTCTGACTCAGGTCATAAGACCCATTTTAGAAAGAGACAAAAATCTGTATGCTCCAAATGGAAAACTGCTAATTGTTCACTGCTACACTTTGTTGGGACTTCTTAACCCCAAAAAGTGATCATCTGATTCTGTACAATGTAAATACTAAGGATATATTTTGTCATTTTTGGCACCGCAAGATGTGTTCTAACTTTACTACACAATAAGCAAAGTGTAAAAATTGAATATTTACAACGCACATATAAATATATAGATGAACAATGGCGCTGGAATCTCCATGAAGTGAAGTCAGAGGCTACTGTTAATATACAGAGAACCTGCTCCATCATGCAGCATTTCAGACAGAAATTAAAAGAACTTTATCCGGAGCTCAGTTTTCCCTGACACCTCTGTCACTTCTCACTTACTGTTGCCCAAGATTGTATATTGAAGTGAACTCCTCTCTCTGTATAATTTATATTCTGTTCAAGTGTTTTTGCAAGCAAAGTTGTTGTATTCTTGTGTCGTTCATGTTTTGATTGCTTCTTTCTGCTAAAATAAAGAAGGCAGTAATAACAATTACTATAACTGAATTAACGACTTCAGTATTTTCTGACAAAGCTAGCAGAAGCAAACATAGTGCATGCAGTCAGGTGGGCATTTTTCCCATGTATAAACAGAGTTCTCTAGAGCTACCAGTTAAGCTGGTTTTCTTGAGATGTTTCCTAGAGGAATACATACACTTGTGTGCCAAACAGCTGCGTTCCATTTTTCTGTACATAAATCAGGAGACAATTTAGCTGTGGTAAGGGTAAGCATGAATCAGTGCTTCCATGATTAGCGGAACAAAGAGTGACAACCAAATAAAGGGTGAAGACTCAGCACTTCAAGTGCTAGGTAAATATTCTTGTCCTTAGGCTGGAAGGTAGAAGTCTCTCCTAGGTTCTGCACAGTTCCCCTCTACGCAGCTTACTCATTCATGTTAAGAGAATCTCAAATTCACACACAAGAAGTTAAACCAAAAGATCTCCAATTTTCAATAGCTTACTGTCCACATCAGTGGATGACTCTCCTTTCATCAGTAAATCTTTGAACCTCCAGAACTATACTTACACATAGTTGTCCTTGCGCGCCCGTGTGCAGTTTATAAACAGAGGGTTTTCCGGCAGGAAGCAGCCACTAGAGAAATATGCAGAATGCATTTTAAAGATTTTCCCGCAATGGAAGTGAAATTAAAAATACAACTTTTATCCTTACTGATGCCTCTATTAGAAGTCATCAGTTTTCTCAAGAAACTCTGCTTATTCAAAATCAGAGCATCATTATAATCCTCAGAAACCCCTCAATATTCATTTTAATGACCTTGATTAGGTTCTATAAGAATCTCACATGTCTTTGTAACTCTTGAAGGAAACTTGTTGTAACGTGCCCTGCTAATTCTATTACTCCAAAGCACTTCTAATGAAAGTGCCATTCTGGAATAAAGACCAAAACAGATTATGCCATATTGTATTTCAAACATCATTTCCCAAAATAGCCGCAGTGACATTTTCCATATAAATGGATGGATTAATTGCTACTGTTGGTCTTATAAAGTTGTTTACAGTACGGTTACACCTGTAACAGAGCAGTACAAGGCTAGAACTTCTATAAAAATATGATATGCTGAGTACAAGCCTGAGCTTCCAACACCAAAATATATACGCTTACTCTTTTGATGCCTTCAGTGTCTGAAGGCAATATCTGACCTCCCCTAGGAACGGACAACTTTGCTGGCTGATGACAGCCAGAAGGTACAGCCACAGCTCAGACTGCCAGGCCAGGCAGAACCTCAGGGCGTGGCTATGCAACATTTAAGTATCCCCTTGAGTATATCTTAAAGAATGCCCCAAATTTTCCCTGTCGAGTATCAGCTGGGCACGCCAGAGCCTTGCCTGGAAAAAGGAGTGTGAACACGGAACAAATGCAAACTCAAGGCCTGTGTAATGCTGTGCACCTGGGTAAAAGACAGCCACAGAAATTCTTTGTCCGAGTGAGGATGTAAAGCTCAGCACATCTTCTAGGAAAGAACCTGCCTTCAGAAGAATAATTAAATGGGTGTCAGAAATTGAGCACAGGAAACACGCGATACCTGGTTCCATTCTCTAGCATATGACTCGTCAGCTCAAAAATATTGTTTGTCCAGAATGCCATGTCATCCACTCCTCCGAGGAAATACTCATGGAACTTCTCCACCAGAAACGGAGATTTACTAGCATACGTTGGAAAAAGCTAAGAGACAAGCAACATACTTAGTAAGATGGATTACATTATTTTCATGCTATATGTTCATTTTTATAAAGAAAACTGAAAACCAACCTTGGCAACAGCAAGCCTTTCACCATGCCTGAAAAAAAAAAATCTTCAGGAATAAATTTGCTTCATTTAATAATATTTATTTATTTAAAATGTTCTTTGCAAGGCTTCTGCATGGTAAATACTATGCAAGTCATTACATTTCCCTGTTGGTTGTTTATATAGTTTTAAAAGCTGTAACGTGAGAAGTACTGGTATTAATTTTATTGCTGCCCTTAATTTGGAGGGGATTCACAGTGTTCGTAAATACTGCTTGACTATCGGTAATTAACTGAAATAAAGGATACAGCTAGGCTGCTTAGGGTATTCAAAAGCAGACATTGCCAGATATCAAAAGTGTCTTTTGAATTCTTCTTGGACTTGAAAGGATCTACATAAATTGTAGGTAAGCCATCTACTCAGGTATGTACATACTGCAGTACATGAAAATTATATTGCTAACATGCCACAATGCGATGGTACTTGAAGACACAGCTGTTCTCAAACAAATAGACATAAATACGTTAAATGCATGAATGTGTTAAACAGCTAAGATGCTGAATCTATGGTGTAATAATGAATTTAACAGTCATTAAGCAGTTCAAATTTGTATTCTAGCTATTAAAAAAATTCAAGTGTTTTATGATTTTGGGGTCTAGTAGAGAGTCTGTATTGCTGGCCTTGATGTATAAGGCATTTCAAATAGGATTATCATCATTTTCCTACGTATGTTTCACTTACGCAAACCCAGACAAAGCTATTCAACTCACAGTTCAAGGAACAGCAGGTAAGTACAGTCAGTAATTGTGCTTTCAGTTATGATCTCTCTTCCATAAAATTCCTTATAGATAGCTGCTAGGTCTTTCACAGGTACATACCTAAAAACAAGACATAAGTGCTATAACAAGAGTTTCCACATCACCTAATAAAAGATCACAGTTTCTGTCATAACAATAGCCTGCTTTAAAATGTTCTAAATTTCAAAAGACTATAGAAGGTCATGAAGATTTACAAAGGCCAGAAAGACCAGGACTGCACATGTAGTTACTCTGCACAACACTCTCCTTTTGTATAGGTTCAAAGTCAGAGAGCTGTAGAACTATTTCCCTATGGCTACTGCTGGTAGAGTTTCCACACTCCCCACAGTGGTTCCCTGGCTTGGTGATCACATAATCTTGGAGGACGTCCTCCAACTCCCTGCTGTGCTAAATCTACTCCTAGTCAAACAGACCTTTTCCACAGCTGTGCCACAGTTTTATTAACAAACTGTGCCTTCTACACCTAGATGAACTACATCCTGCTTAAGCAAAATGAACCAAATGACCTACTTTAATGAGCAGGAAAAAAAAAGGCATGTGAGTTTTTTTATTTCGGTTAAAAACTATGAAAAAAAAAATTGTGTATATCTAAAGCTGCTCCTTCTTTCATGCTTTTAAAACTGGTCTGACTTCCACAGCATCTATAACCACAAACACCCTTAACTTCCAAAATTTTAAATGGAAACCTAAGTGAGATTTACTTAACTTATTTAACTAATTGCTAGGACATTCCAGCAAAATTTTTTCACTGATTATTTTATATACATTTACTTCTAATTCCCTTCAGAGATAAATAATTTAATCTTTCCTGCTGTGTTCCTATATGTAAAACTCTTTTTTTCTTCTCTACTTCCAATTTTTCATGTCAGGGAACAGTAAATATACATATAAGGAATACCAAACTCAGAAAAATTCCAAAAGCTGCAAGCGTTTCTTTTGAGAGAAAGATAAAGAAGCAGAACACTTTCTGTGTTTTAACACAGTATACAGAGTAATTAGAAATTATTATTAAAGAAAGTAACCTCATTATCTTACCATTTCGATGCCAGATAACTGAAGTCCAGCTCATACTGACTCAGTACATCTCCTCCTGCGGATGGAAGAATGCAAAAAAAACCCACAAAGCCCAACAAACCAGACCCGTTATCTTTCATGGAAAACAGCACAGATGAAGCTTCATATGGCTATGCTACCTATGTTTATATGGTAGGTCCTCCAGCTATATATTTAGAATACAGAAATGGTTCGCATGAAAGTATGCTCCATATTTTATACTCCCAGAGAATAAGAATGTAAAATTTAAAATCACGGTAGTGATTACATCTAAACTTTAGCATCCTTCAGCCTGTGTTTTGGTTTTAATACAAGTGTCCACATGCCCTACCACATCTCCTGAAACGTGGAGCATGGGGACAGGTATAGCAGGGCTTTACAAGCTGTGGAGGAGAGTGAGAATGTGTGTCCATATGACTCATTCTTGGCTCCTGCATTGCGCAGGGTAAGAGCCAGAATCACCCACTGTGGTTTTGAAGCGTTATTCCAAAAGAAGGATCTATGATCAGCAAACAGAAACATTACCAAAATCGCCAACACTGTGGGCTTCCGAGTATGAACCATGAAAATCGATCTGGAGACAGAGAAAAAAACCACAGAACTGTCCATTTCTTTTACTCATACTTCCATACAAACATATGAGCAGAAACAAAATGTCCAAGCAGCCCTGAAGCCTACAGGTCCCAAACCTGACCAACTTCATTCTTACGGAGTTGGTGACATTACGCCTTTCTGAAAATCCTCCTGAAACAGGACTCCAGCTTTTCTGTTCCCTCCCCACCAGAGTCCACAGCTAAGCTATCAATTCCAATAAATGCAGTTATTTCAATAAATAAAATAATACATGCTTACTTCTCCCATGGCCTTTAGAAATCCTTGGTTGATGCCCAGGCTATGCCAGCTAACATCTGCCACCATATGAGAGGCAATTCCAAACAGGAAGGCCACCAGCTTCTCTGTAGCCTACATAACAACAATCCACTTGCAGTAATATCAGTAATTATACTCCCGTCTTTAAGCAGAGGTAAGCATTTTACACAAGTGCATCATACAAGGATATAAGTGAGAAACTCTAAATCTAAGAACTTAGCATGACAAAGCGTTGACCACTCAGTCCTTGATGCTGGAATCACTTTTTGTGACTTGAGGAGCTTTAAGCACTTCACACAGTCCAAGGCCATAGAATTACAGGGCTGATGTCAGGACAACTTGTGTACTTCAAGTCAGATGTGCACGAAAGTGTTTTTCTGGACTGGGCACAAACACTTCCAAGGAGTGAACCCCCTCTGCCACCATGGGTGTTGTGCAGGCACATAGAGGAGAGAAAGACATTCCCCTGCAAGTGCTGTTCACAGTAAAAGTATTTGATTAAAGCCCAGGTATGAAATTACTCATCTTATTCCTACAAACAGAAAAGTTATTTGGAATAAATTTATCAGCAACAGAAATGCCATTTATCCAGAAAAGACTCTCTGCATTGAATCACTGTAAGTTCCAGAGGTCTTCTAAAAATCTGTAGTTGAATCACAGTTTTTGATGAATTTATACTTCCCAAGGGTTAATAATTCACAAGATCAGTATCACTGATGGCCAGTCAAAAGGCAGGCAAACTTGCTGGGAGTGCACGCTCCCAAACGCTGCTCCATCTGTATGACCCTCCCAAGCAGAGAGAGAATGGTAAATTCTCCAGTAAGGAAAAGAAAACAGTATCACCTTTAAAATCATTCTCAGTTTGACAATTTATTTCCCTCTCCTCCTACGTAGCTCAGATACCATAAATTAATCAGGACCTAGTCCAAGATTTCACAAGTGCGAATTCTAAAAGATTTCAAGTGGCAAACACTCAACCAGATCTGACAATAATGCGAGACCACCAACCACATTTGAAAGTTTGGTCCTATGAAATATATCATACGCACCAGATCACACTGGAGATAACTGATATGAAAATCATGACTTTTTTGTTTGGTAAAGATGAAAACAGGATTTCAGATTTTCCTATATCAGCAGAGACTATAATTTAAAAATGTGTGTTTTTTTCTACACTTCCCAAAGGATGAAATTGCAACAACAAGCAAAGGTGAAGAAAACAGTAGAAAGCAAAGTCAAAAGTTAAAGAAACTTCCTGACCTCTTCCCAAGGCTGAGGATAATTCCTCCTGATGTAGCGAATACTTGTCGTGAGAAATGGTGACCAGTGAGTATCTTCAGACACATCAAGGAATATTCCTATTGCAATAAAATTATATCAGTATTTGTTTATTTTTTCCTTTGGGGGGAGGAAGAAAAAGAGAAAAAAGAAAAAGATAACAAAGAAAAAGAAAAGCTTTTCTCTATAAAAAATAAGACTTCTGTTCAACTTCATATTGTACAGAGAATACATTCTGCAATCCACTTATATGCAAAGAGCCAAATGAGATATATTTTTATATGATTTATACTTTCAAAAGAAACACTAGATTTACCTTCCATGATTTGGGTTTGAAGCATCTGAAAATTCTGTGCCTGCTCCCTTTCTCTGTGCCTGTGAGTAGGTATAGTACAACGAAAAACTGCCTCCACATGGAGAGGATAGAGAAGCTGTTGACTAAATGAATGCATTAAACTGTATGGCAGAAAAGCTGACGGACACAGCAGCCAACTTAAAATATCGTGCTTTGGGACCGGTATCAGTTTCCACAGGGTGAAGGAGGGCTATGTCATCATCATCATTTTCAACAGCATGGCAAAGTCAGTGTAGGAGCAGAAGCAGGGCAGAGGAAAGCAGGAAAAAAATCAGTTTTTCCTTTGAAGCATCAATTATTGCTCTCACTTGGATTTATGCAGAAGAGATTACGCAGGATCTAATAGTGACCTTGCCTAAAAATTTCTGTGTACCTACATAAAACTGAGGGCAAAGTGATGCTGAAGTGACAAGACCAAGCAGCACAATTCTCTAAGGGTGAAGAAGGTAGGCAGGAGATAGATTGTTTGGACCATCAATACACTTGGAGGAAGAGTATGAGGTTGTTCAGACAGAACTGTGAAACTGCGGAAGATTAAGGTACATTAAATGCTGAAACAGAGAGCAGACCTTGTGGGTGATTCAGTTACCTCCGGGCGTCTTTGACATTTTACAGTGCAGCTGAACTAGATAACATAAGGATGGGATTTGCTAGACCAAAATTAAACGTTCTTAGAGTAGACTTCCACATCAAAGTTTGTCTCCTGCCTGGCAAGGCAGTCTGGATGGCTTTGTGCTTGCTCTAGAGGCACGCAGTTAAAACAGCTCAGATCTGTAGAGGTACGTATTTCTTCCACATTGACTAAGGAGACTGCTGACAAGTGGCCCAAGTAGAAAACAAGGCAATTTAGTGAAGGAATGTGGGCTGGAGGCTGCTGATGGAGAGGCTCTGATCACTGGCCTGGTTGAAGCCAAAACTGTTAGAAGGAAAGACGAGATAGATAGAAATAACCAAGTTAAGGTAGGAATTGAAGAAATCCCAGGAGAGCATCAGTCCTGAAAATAAGGCAAGCAAGACTGAAGTTTGGGACAAGATGTTAGCAGAGCCAGGCAGAAGACCAGGAGCAGTGACCTGGTGAGTGGCAGGAGAAAAAAACAGTAATAAACACTAGAGCAGCAGGGCAACCTGGATGTAAACCGAGCACCACAACGTAACAGCAGAGAAGCTCCTCCATCAGACAACCTGGATGGGACAACCTGCCCATCAGGATATAAACCAAGCAACCTGTAGAACAACCTATGACTGAGACACAATGAGAATTCCAGCTGCCCCTGTGTGATATGCAACTCGAAGTAGAATAGGCAATGAGAAAAGATGGGGAAAGTGTCCTTGAAAAGGCAAACAAGGATTTTGCAGTTTGAGGTAGGAAAAACAGATACTGAGTTAAGTGGAGGCAATGGCACTCAGCTGAAAAAATATGTAAAAAACGAGGCATACCAAAGAAAGATCCTAAGAACACTTTGAATTTAATTGATCTGAATTTGCCTGACCCACTAAAATAAACTACTTTCCATAGTTTAGACTTTCAGTAAGATCTCAACAATCAATTGGACGGATATCCTCACACAAGCCTTGTCTCTGTATCTGCCTAAACATCCTAACAGCCTGTTGTTGGAGGGCAAGCTGTCTTTGCTCCATTTGCTAATTGCTCACTATCCAGATATGCCACTTTAGTAGCAAATATCCTGGAGCAAGCCCTAGCTGGCCGTTTTATAGCTCTGCTGTTGCTGGAGAAGCTGATTATGATCAAGAGCTGACCTACCAGAGCTGAAAGATCAGGGGACCAGCTGCAAGTCAAGACACAACTCTTTACAGTCGCTGCAACAGGGTGCTAGTTTTGTAGTGCAGTCTTTCGATCTGCAAGCACCAAAACTACGACTGACATTAATTTCAAACAGGAAAAGGCAAAAGACAGCAACCTGGAAAAAAAAGGCTTTAAACTGGGATGTTACACTTACCCCTCCCGAGCAAGTCCTCCACTACTCTGCTTTTCTGAGCTTTTTATATTCTCCTATCATCTTTGTGACTGATCGGACAGAAACCAGTACTTCCTAATACAGAAATTAGCTCTAGGCTCCCCCTAAGACATAGAAAAAAGATCATTTTGTCCTCTTATTTTCTCCCCAAGACAGTACTCAGTCATCTGACCTAATTTAGTCAAACAGCATCCTTCTATCAAATTGCCCTACACATTAAAACGTTAAATTTACCCAAAATTTACTTTCTTAAAACTTTTTCAAACATATTATTTTCTTACATAGTTCTACAAAAAGGCTCAAAATACTAACAAAAATGGTGGATGATTTTGCAGGAAGATATTTTTGGCCATACTTTATTTCTTACAACATCACCATTTTCAACGCTACTAAATTTGACATAAAAATACAGTTGTTACAATATCGGACTTATAAAGCTTTTCTTACCACTTTTGCAGATTGAAGGATAAAAGGCATCAGGATAAATGCTCCCAGCCTGAAATGCATCTTGGTGGTTTAGTAATAACTGGGAGAAGGATGGTGAAAAAAGGAATCAGAATGCTATTGCACAGCACAAACCCACAGTTCACTGCCAATACTGAAGATAAAATCTAAATATCCAGCAAGATACAACCATTATATTGGCAAAACACATTATTTCAGTGTTGTCACCACCCCACATCATCCCATCCCTCTCCTCCCCTTGACAAAATACTTGTAAGTGAAACTAATCAGTATATACTGCAGTTTGGAAGGCCATTTAGGAAAGTATTGATATGATCTAACTTCCGTACTGGCAAAGTCCCCTTCTGAGGGTACTTTCCTCCTCTCGGACTAGACACAAAGCCTGGTCTGCTATCTCCCACCCTCTGAATCACAGCATAGCTGTCTACAGCAGACAATGTGCATATCTCCCTTGAGTGATCTCCTACTTGGATAAAAGATCAAATGATATAAAACGGTCTTCTTTACATTGCGCTAAAGGATGCTGAAAATGTATTAAACACGAAACACATCTGTGTTTTGTTCATGTGCTTCCGAAAACTGTCCACATGCTTACAGTGCTCTGCTGGATACAGCCCACGAAAGAAAAAGCTATTTGCGCCAATCAGAAATTGGTTAAATGACATATGTGGTGGACTAAATTAAAAACCTTGCTGTCATTTTGCTCTCTTTACTAAATCTCCTTTCCAGAAGTCCTCTACTGATTCTTCTAATACAATGACCCACAGAGGGTATGACTTCAGATGGTGGAAAAAAATGCAAGAAACCACACGCAGTACATACACATCATTATACTTACTACATGTTTGCAATAGTATTCAGAAGGAGTCAAATGATTTTCAACAAAACAAGGTAAAAATACAGTCTAGGCACAGGTTACACACATATTACTGAGAAAAAATAATGAAGAAAGGCAGAAAGACAGACAGAAAAACACTCAGAAGGCATACACAATTAAGCAATAACATGCTTCCTACCTGTCTATAATTAACATTCCCTTCGTGCTTAACGAAAAATTCCAGAGCTCTATGTGCTGCAAAACAACATATTGAAGTATTGATTTATAGGTACTGTGGCCAGGCCCATGTCTCGTCAGAAGCATTATCAAAAACCAGAATTATGTCATCTCTAAGCCAAGTGGCGCAGGTGCACGAAACCCGATTTCTCAGAAAACGCTGGTGTGTTTTCTCACCCAGGGAGCTAATACGGAAACACTGTTTCTGTGGCCCACCCGGACACTGAGGTCTCATCAGTCTCCCTCTAATACCCAGCTCCCAAGCTGACCAACAAAGCCGAAATCGCAGGGAAAAGGCAAAGGAACTCCCTGTGTCCAGAACGGAGCTACAGCAGTGAACTGTGATGGATCACACCCAGCACACAGAGAGTACGGATCACAAAATTCTAGCTGTAAAGGACCCACATGAATTGTAATTCAGTTTCACTGTTGCCCTTAACATTGAAAAAGGTACCTCAGGCATCCACGCGGACATTTAAGAGTTTGATTAATTTTTAACATGCATGAAAACCAACAAAAGTCTAAAGTCAGCAAGGTAAATAATATTATTTATTCACTGAATAAATAAGCAGACATTATTGCTGCCAAAATATTCCTTGAGCAAGCGTAACAAGAGAATGCAACAAACTGACACCACTTTTCTTTAATGAAGTCTCCTTCTAATTGACGTTAGATCCCAGGGATAATCCAGTAACACTATTCTAAAAATACCCAACACCGCCTCTAAAATAATTTGGTTGAAACTGCATGCATGGGTTACTCTCTTGCCTTCCCACACAAAGTTTTAGTCCTCATTTAAAGTTATTTACAAACCAAGACTGATCAAGATAACCCAGAACATGCTGAATTTAACTGGAGCCTTACCAAACAAATCACGTCACAAAAAAAAATCCCACTCTCATTCTGGAATAAGATCTAGACAAAACTGTGTGGGTCTAAATGATCTTTCACTTTGAATTTTACCAACTGATCTCAGCCATCCTTACACAAACATGTTCAGACACCTTAAGGACCAATCTTGCACCAAAACAGGAACAACTTCAAAATAATAATTAAAACAAGTTTGTAATTTTAAGGCTCAGCCATTCCAACACACATTTCTATTTCCAGCACGGGAGACTCTCCATTTGGCCTTTCGCTTTTCCTGCCTCCTGTTCCCCATCCCCTGACTTCTCTCCTGCCTCATGTGAGCCCATGTCCTACAAGTTCACCTCCGCAACGAAGTTCACGATGGATCCCCGCAGCTCCAGAGAGCCCCACTCAGACACGCGGCCGTGGCAAGCGGGGCACTGCGCAGCTCCGCCGAGCACACCGCACATGATCGACATGCTGAACAGGCAGAGCTTTTTACCCCTTTTAAAAGGACTTTCAGGAGTCGGTCCAGGATAGACTTTGGTGCTGGTTTTGAGTTAGATGCATTCCTTTCTGCAGTTTGGGGTTTTTTTTTTTTTGCCAGCAAATTTCAGTGTCTTATCATCATGGACTTTCGTTTGTACATTAATGAAAGCACTGATTTTAGCAACAGCAGAGTCGAACCCAGTTTAATGTCATTTTCAGACAAACGGACAAAATTTGTTGGAAACTACCACCCAATAGTTCAGTGTACACGCTACTCCTCAGACAACCATGATCTTTAAAGCACGTAAATGCACGTTTTCTGCAGTATGCTTCCTTGATGACAAGCTGCTTCGGGGCAGATCTGCAAGCTTTTGTTTCTCTTTGCAGATTTCTTGCAAATGTACTCTATCCTGCCAAATCTGTTATTTCAAGCTTTATGAAGCTCATACCCAGTAATCAGAGCCCCGAGCGTGCAAAGATGTATGCCTTTGCTTAGCCTCAGGCAGCGCAACTTCTCCTACCGATTACTGTGGGTTTCTTGACATATCGTCAGGAAAAGCGAATGGTTGCAGGACGTTGGCCAGGGGTACAACATTCAGTAAGGGAACATACTCGTGGTCCCAAATGAATGCCATGAATAATCCCAGCCTTTAACTTGTTGGAAGTTGCATGTATTCAGTATTTAAAGCCTAAGGAGATTACCCGAACAGGGACATCATACGTTTTACTATCTGTTTGAACAATGATTTAGAATCAGAAACAGCAGAAAAAAAAAGTTAAAATTGTCAATTTATTATGAGTAAATGTTTCAGAATAACCTCATGCTACTCATGAGTGTTCTTGCAACAACTACAGCAGAAAACAGATTTTAAAAATAACACACACAAACAAGAAATTCAAACCAGAATTATTTCCCCACTTTGATGCTCACTCGGCTCTCTCCTTCATTCTCTACAAATCTAGGCTGTTCAGGCTACAGATAGCAACCTACTAGAGACACAGAACAGAACTGTCATTATTTTAGTCACAGATACAAACACATCACAGCATTTTATCTATTTTATGCAGATATGGCAAAATTAATACACAGTGGTTTGAAAACAGAGCTACCACAGATGATGTGTGTTATTCTCTAGTTTAAATATAACAATCCATAAACTGTGGTGCAAAGTATTCCTCTCCTTTCTCCAAACCAAACCCTGCCTGCGTAACTCACAGACACTCCAGTTACATAATGCCTGTGGTTTAGCAGACGGAAAAATATGCAACCAAGCAGATCCAAACATTTTGCTTATAAAAACTGCAAAGTTTCAAACTCCAAAAACCAAACTACCCGTCTATCCTGTGTGTTCTTCACATTTTCTTAAAACTATGTGGAATGCTCATTACTTTAACATTGTTTCCTCCTTTTGCTTTGCAGATGAATCTGAATTCTCCTCCCAAGCAACTCCTAAAACACAAAAATCCATTCTGAAGACGTCTTACCTATTTCAACATGTGTGGAAATTCCACTTGGGACACACCTTTGACAGAAACGGCACAGTACAACCAGCAGAACAGACCAAATCTTCACACCAGCCATGTCGCTGGCTGGAACTGTGGTCTTCAGAAGCCTGGAGCTGTAGCACTGTGACCTTTGAAACGTGGGTTACCGAGCACGCCTCTTCTTTCGACACACTGCTGAGACAGCAAGTAAACGACTGCCATGTTTGAAAGGCTATTTTACAACAACACTCTTCTTTACCTCAGATAAAGTAACTCATCGAAAGAGCCTGTAGGTGTTCCCCCCTCTGGGATTCGGTATGGTCTCCGGGGTCTGGGCAGCGCAGCTGCCATCACGCACACAGCAGCGAGGTTTCCATAACCCGCAGAGCAGAGCATCCTCCCGCAGCTCGCCCAGCTCTCGCTGCGCTCGCCCTGCCACAGCCACGCCAGCTCTCACCGAAAGTTAACACCGGTTGCCAAAACCAGCACCCGCAGACACAGGCAGGCCCCCGCGCCGCCCGCCGGGCCCGCCCCC